TTAGTTATCTCTAAGATTATTATTGTATTACTCTATTTTGTATTATTATGAAATGTACTTACACAGCTAGATACAATTTCTACAAAATAATTACCATCAGAACTGTGTCTGTTCAATATTAAGTTACCCTTAATCGGTAAAGCATAATATTTAAACCATTTGGTCATTAAACCTTTAGTTTAAGAGTAATTTAATGCTATATTTATTTAAAACTTACATCCAGATTTGTTGTAAAATATAATTGTAAGTATGCTATATGTCCACAGAAATTTGCAATGTAATATTTGGCCGACATTTTTTAATAAACCCGTATTTACCAAAACGGTTTATATTGTTTTATAAGCGGCAAAACCTTTTTCTGTTTTTTTTTTAATTAGCTATAGGAAGAAGGAAGTTAAAGAGTTTTTAATACGAATGGGACATGTTGCATGAATAAAAATTTCTTAACGAAATTGTCGGTATACAAAATTTCGATCTGTGTAGAAGGTTGCTACGTTCTGAATAACTCGAGAAGGAAATATTTTGGGATAATTGTAAGTGTATATTTTTTTTAATAAACAAGTTTAAAATAAATCTGTTGTTGTTATTTGTTCTGCTAATAATTACCTGGTTCGAATATTTGTAGATAATGATAGAAAAATATCTAAAATGCGAAGTGAAAAGATGTAAATGTCAGAAAAAGTCAATTTACAATAAAATTATCGCCACAAAACCATTTTGAAATGCATTCTTAACCCATCTAATCCGTTACAAAATTGGACAACAGCCTAATTATATAGTTTCAGAGAAAAACGGAAGTCTTTATGTAGCTGTTGAGCTGACGTCAGTCCGGCACAATGCCACAGCTAAAAGCATGCTAGAACTTTGTAGTTATAAAGAATTTCAAAAAATTTACCAGGCATCATTTAAATTCCTATTTATCAGTGCGACATAACAGTGATTATTCGCTGAAGTAAATATAGCGATAATCAAGAAACATTGTGGCGCTGCTGGGCTAACGTCATTCTAGCAGCGCACGGTATATCTTAAAAATTACAGCACTTCAAAAGCTCATTCTTTTAAAACGTTATGTCATTTTAATTTTATTCATAAAATTAATTAATGATGCCTCAGCAGTCAAATTCCTTAAATAACGTGTTTAAACCTTTAACATGTTCGGTAAATCCATGTAGAAAGATAGAATTGGTAATTCAAAATTGGTTGAATGAATGTATTTAAATCGTGTAATTGTCGCCTACGTGAAGTTGGCAGTATTGTGGTGACGCAAAGTGCCATTAAAATTAAGAAGAAAATGGAGAAAACAGTAAAAGATCCTGCAAGGATTTTGTTCTACTTCTTGGTACCCTAGGGTACTTCCCCAATCAATATTGCACTCTCATATTTTGTGGCAAGATACTAATAAATAGTGATAAAAATCAGAAATACAATAATTACTTACCAAAGTCAATTTTATAACGCCTGCCAGATTCTACCTGTATATTTGCTAAGATTTCATCATCAGGAACGTTTGGTCTACTGATAAAATTTGGCAGGCGCTTTTGGTGTTACACGTTTGACTGAAGCACGATCGTTTTGTGAGTAAAATGGCAACACGATGCGATGAACCGTTACGATTTTGTTCAAACCCATTGTATCCACGGATCGTACCGTAAGTATATTGGACCCTCAAGCAAAGGTACTGGTCATATTCATGCTCAATTAAATAAAAAGTAAAAAACAGTATAAGGGACTACTTATAATAGTGTCTAAGGCATATTTATAGAATACCGGGGGCGTTCAGGGAATGTATGAGAAATATTATAATAAAGCATTACGTACTTTCCCTACAATGTATAAAATAAATAGGTACATCTTGTTGTATATTACAAAGAAATAAAGAGGTAGGATTTGATTGTTTCTTTGTATTTTGTTTGCATTGGATAGAATCCGAACTACTAGACTGATAAAAAGAAAGAAATTACGTGAGGGACAAACGACAAGGCCATAATTCAACCGGGCGAAGTCGGGGGAAAGCAGCTAGTTTATCGTATAGCGAAAGGTACAATGCTTATCGTGCTTTATTATGCCTGTAGTTTTATAAAAACAATATTTCTAATTTTTTAGTTATGTTAGTAATTTCTAATACTCAGATTCAGGTCAATCAGATCAAAATTCAGATTCTAACAAATGTAAAGCTTTGTCAACCAAAAACACTATATTAAAATTTGACTTTATATTTAGAATGATGAAAGTTTTGCATTAATATATTATAAAGAGGAAAGATTTCATTGTTTTGTATCGAATAGTATCCGAAAATACTAGACCGATTTTAAAAATTCTTTCACCTACGGAAAACTACATCATATGGGTGACATAGGCTATAATATACACGGACGAAGTCACGGGGAAACAGCTAGTGCTATATTGATTTTATACATAAAATATTTCTCATCAATTCTAAAATGTGATCCACATGGTCGCTGACAAGCTTTTCGACCCAGATGACTGCAGATAACCTTGATCAGGCTAGGGTTGCCAACGATATTATATCGGTACCATTTGACACATGTCATCGTAAATTTTGACGAACGTACAAATTCGACACATTTTAATGTAAGATATCGACTTGTTTGAGTGTCGTGCATGATTGATTATTTTATTGCATAATAGATATTTCGTTTCCATTTTGACATAAGCTTAACAGAAAAAATCAATACAAAGCCTTATCAATAAAAGTATATATTTTAACTTGTTATCTTCAAATATTTGATTTTATTGATAATTTTGTGCTCGGTAGGTCATAACTATTCCAATCAGTGCATTTACACTCCATAACATTACCAACGCGATATGAAAACCATTTTAATGACCAGACATTAATGGGAACAGTATTTTTTTTATTATTTTGCTTTGTTTCGACTAATTAACCGAATACCGTGTAACTCTAGAAAGATAACAATGATATGATCGACAACGATGATGTTATGATCGAGCTCTGCTAAAATTGGATGGCACAACAACAGAGCGAAACATAATGAAATATCCATCTTGTAGACAGAAATACAGCCTACAAATTTTCAAGCAATGGAAACATACACAAGGAAATGCTAAGCACTTTGAAAACTTTTGTTACTATACATCATGGTTTATGTTTTATTTATTTTCAACTAATGATCATAATTATTTTTTATATTAGAATCAAACTTAATACCTGTCCTAACTTTTGATGTCATTGAGCTTAATTGTTTTATTATGTGAGATATGGAAATTAAATTTCATTAAATTCACTAGTTTTTAGATATTTCCATCGATGGCGCATTCAGACTTACTTAACGGTTCTTAAGCAACTTTCGCAATGGTCGGTCATAGGATGGGTGACTAAAAATGTACTATCTCGAGCTCCTCCGTGCCTCGGAAGGCACGTCAGGTCGTTGGTCCCGGCAGCATCTGCAGTCGTTAATACCCACCACTCAGCACTACGCCCGCGCGGTGGGTCATCGCTAATTCTTCCTATTCGATTCCATCGATAGGGAATCTCTGAGCCCCAGTAGTGGGGACATTAATATTTCCATGAAAGTTGCATCCATGGTAATTATAAACTAGCTTTCCGCCAGCGGCGTTGTCCGCGTGTTTTTATCCCGTTCCTCAATAAATGGTTTATTCAACACAATGCGCTTCAGTTATAACAACTTTATATGATGCGATTAGTCTTGTCTTTCAAATCTTAAAAATTAACTTTGATCTAGATAGAGATAAAGCTTCAAAAACGTCTGCGTGAGATGTCACTTGACATACATCGCCAGTTTTAGTTTCTTCTTCATTTTCGCTCTCGTTTCTGTTCTGACATTTAGCAAAATTTTTAAAAATGTTCCATGTCAAGATAAAATACCACCTATCACACGGTGGGCGTGAGTTAGTGACCCCCGTTCTGACGATGATACTGTGCTGAATGAATGCTTCTCGCATTTTGAATGTTATTAGAGAAATGAAAAAAACCACGACGCGTTCTGAGTATTAATTGGTTCGTTTTAAAAATAGCAATTAGCCTCTGGCGTGTTGTTGGCATCTTCATTATCATCACCATCAGCCCTTTCACGTCCCCACTGCAGAGGCTCAGGCCTTCTTTATGGATAGTTAAGGAGGATGGGCCATGACCTTCCACGCTGGCCCAATGTGGATTGGAGGGTATTAACGATTGCACATGCAGCCGGGATCAACGGCTTAACGTGCATTCCGAAGCACGAAGTAGCTTGAGATAATAATTTTTTGGTTACCCATCCCGTGACCGATCCTTGCGAAAGTTGCTTAACAACAACAATCGCGGGCCGCGGCGCAAATCCTCTATGCATACTCTAACCTAATCAAATATGGTTCAATACGTTTCGTGTTTTTTTTTACATTATCACTGTCCTACCTCGTACAGTCAAACTCTGGAACAGTTTGTCGCCAGCGGTACTTCCGGACCGATACGACCTTCAAACTTTCAAGTGTAGAATATATTCGTCCCTCAAAGGTCGGCAGCGCGCTTGTAGTTCCTCTGGTGTTGCAGGGGTCCATGGGCGGCGGTAATCACTCACCATCAGGTGACCTGTCTGCTCGTCTGCCCCTATTCCATAAAAAAATGCATTATGATCTAATAGCATGATAGCCATGACACGGATTTCGCTATGTGGTTATTTTGTGAATGTCATAATGCATCGTGAGCATTTCCACAAGGGCCATAACAACAATTTCCCTATGTGGATATTTTATTGTGACCATAGCGCGTTCACACATTGGGCGTTTTCATTCAATCTTCAAAGATAGATTCTATAAGTATGACAAATGTATTGTATCTTAGTTAAAAGTAAATAGAATTTTCAATAATAATAAAATTACATAAGTGTTTGTCTAGATTTGTAATAAAAAAAAATTTCGATTATATATCGATGTTCCATGTCACTATCCCTTTTAAGTTATTTGAATGGCGCAACCCTATAGTATCTCGATTTTTTTGTCTTTTCATTTGGTTTGGTAATGGAAGTGTCAAACAAACAGTAGGTAATAGAGGACGATGCGCGAATATTAATAATCGACCGCATATATATATAGTTTATTCACTGAAGTATTATTTAGTGCTAGATGCATTCAATGCGCCATTCCATGTAGTCTGCAGCACGGCAGCAGTTCGGTCACAACAGGCGACATGAACGGAAGTGCAATGAATACGGTGTGCTACAATGGGGCTAACGATCGACTTATACACGAGGCAGACCAACTTATTTCATACATTGAAAGGGGTTCCACTGTGTTCAAGTTTTACCCTCGAAAGCGCCCAGAACGTCGCACTCTCCTGGTACGAAGGGAGACACATCAAGTGTTGTGGCTACGAACAGGTGCACCGCAGCGTCAAGCATACGAAGGTGCTTTAGATATTAGAGATATCAAAGAAGTCAGGATCGGAAAGTCGTCTAAGGACTTCGAGCGATGGCCAGAAGAAACGAAGAGACTGGAAAACTCAAAGTGTTTTACGATTTATTACGGAGTGGAGTTCAAACTTCGTTCAGCATCTTTTGCTGGTAAGCTTTGCTCTATTGTTTACTAAACACCCATCTATTTTCGTCTGCGTGCCAATACTCGATATAGATGAATGCACTATAGTAATATATTGATTGATTCTCATTGAAATTGGAATTATTGTTATGAACTAAAGCTTTGATGTGAAAGTGAGTAACTTCCTTTTTCCGTTCCAGTTTAAGCAAGAAATATTACTAGAATGCCAAGAATAATGATCATTATATTTGGATAATGTATAAATGACACTATTAACTTTACTATTTAGTGAGTATTTTGCGGTAGAAAGTATAAAAAACAAATTTGTATAAAAATAGCCTTCAAATTAAATAAAACACTATTAAACTTTGTGTATGTAAAATAAATTTATATATGAAATAGAAATAATTCTGAAAAAAATCAACTATATAAAATATTAAATGAGTTTTTCTATTATTGTCAATTAAAAAGGTTTTGATGTTAAACTGGCATTGAAAATTGTTATGCAGTAATATATTAATACATCTAGTGAACAGGCTCTAATTATCCAAGACTGTCAGTCTTCTGCAATTGATTTTAATCTTTAAGATGAAGGTAGTTTAGTTGAAAAACAAATGCAGTATGTAATTTGCCATCTTGTGGTGACTGCTGCTGTGTGTTACTAAAACCAGCTAGTGTTGTTTGTTATTATAGTGCAAATATTACAAGTGCAAATGTACATATATTTTCAATGTTATAGCAAACAAAAAGTTTTATATTCTTCATACAAATATAACACTGTAATTATATAGTTTTACTTTGTATGTTTGAATAATAGGAATAATTTACTAAACATTTTAAATATTATTTAACTGGAAGTATGTGAATAGTGAATATCAACCATATGAACACTCTTCTACTATGTACCCACCTTAAATTTGCCAAAAAATCTTTTTGAATCTAAGGTAGTTCCATACTCAATAATAAAATGTTTATAAACACATTTTCCATTTGAAATTCACCTTAACTTATTTATATTGAAGAACTTCCATTTTAGTTATTATGACAAAGCAGTGAGGTTGACTTCATAATGATAACATAATTACTTGTCGATATTGTTCAAAGATCTCTTTACTTAGAAAATGTGCACTTATGGCCTAGTTCTGAATACAGAAAAGTACAAAATCTCAACTGATTATTTTCAATAACTTAAGTTTTTTAAGCGTGTCGTACTATGGATAATGACGTAATAGTAGTAAAAAAATATATTTTCTCATCACACAGAATAATGTCTTATGTGCTAGTAAGTTACAAACACAGTCATTCTTGAGATTCTGTTTTGAGACTGATGCCTAAGTTAATAAAATAAAGTTTCCCACAAAAAAAAAATCACCTATTTGCTAGACAGGATGTATTAAGTCTTGAAGCATGAATGTAAGAGTTTCCAAATACATTATGAAAAAGTTCTGAAGGGACTCAATTGAAACAAAAAAAAATTTTAAGAACTATGCAATAAAATTCTGGAATAACAATCATATCTATTCTGGAATAGATTAAATAACATTCAAACTTTATTTTAAAAGTAACTTTTGAATAATATTAAAGTATGAATATTTGCGCTACATATGGCTCCTGATTGTGCATATGTATAAAACCAGCAATATACAATAGTCTGTATTTACTACACTGAAAAAAATTAAAAAATCAAGAACAATAAAAACATTTCTGTAAAACTAAATTCTGGTGTTTTTATATCACATAATAATAGCGGCACATTGAATTGTCCTCTTTCTTATAGTGTTACAACACTTGTTACCTTTAAATTGTATTTCTCAGTCATACGATACTGACCATATTGTATGTATTCCAATCAGAAAATAAACATTCCTTAGCAATATTTAAAACATTTATAATACTTCTTGAATAACAATATTAGCATTTTATAAATTTAATTTGCTTGTGAAATATTTCAGCACAGACAGATAAAGAATGTGATGCCTGGGTGAAAGGCTTGAGATTCCTGTTGGAAGAAGCTATAAATGCATCATACCCATTGCAGATTGAAAGGTGGTTAAGGAAAGAGTTCTATGCATTAGAGAACTCCAACGAAAAGTGAGTCAATGATAAACAAAATTTAATGTTAAGTTATTTCTTAACCTTACGCTGGTCAGCTGCGAGTCGTACACATTGAATACTGAAGTGACATTACTATTAATATTTATCAGTCTGGTGAACAGAATAATGTAATGATTTCTTGTGTATATTTCTAAAGTTTGTAAATGCATTTTTTCATGAGTGCAATATTGTAACATTTTATCAATGACCTTAACATTGCTCTAGGATATTTTAGTAGGTACAGGTCAAGATTTATGTGGGTTATGCGCCACTTGTATTATCTTTCATAATATATTGAAAAAAGAACAAATAGCATTGTTTTTTTTTATCATAAATCTGCTATCTACACACAAGTATAAATACAAAGACCCTTCCTGCTGTCCGTGCGCTGAGATCTTTTAAACTACACAACAGATGTTAATATGGTTTTCATCAATATACAGAATGAATCTATAGGAAGGTTTATATTTATAATACAGGGTGAAAAGCTAGTATTTAACTACTATAGTGTGAGCGGAAGTGCTAGTCACTGCCTGAGGTATGCGGGCGGTAAGACGGTCGAGGGCGCGATTGCCAAGACGCACATGGGTTATTTAAAGACAAATAAATCTCAGGATAACATGTTAGAATTTATCTTAATTAATGTAATGGTGGTATTTATAATGCAATATTTCTTTATTTCCTAGTTAAACAAAAATAAATACATAATTGAAAATTACCATTTCTCAATAAACAAACCAAAAAAATATTTTCACTATCACTGTTATAGTACAAAGTAATCACATTGTCAAACCTCATGTCGTGGTTCCAATATTGGTTCTCAATTTTTTGTATGTGGCCGTCACACTTTTGCCATTATTGTGGAGTGAATTTAAGAAACAATGTGATGATTGGAATTTTGTCGTCCAATGATGAATTTATATAATTTGAAGCTCAATTCTTCTTTATAACGGCCCTAGCTCAATGGGGTTGAGATCGGGATGATACGGCGGAAGGCGAAGAACAATATGACCTGCAGCCTTTAAAATGTCGTCAATGGTGTAAATTTTTTCAGACTGAGTTCTTTTTATCAGAGAAAGGAGTTCGAATTACTGTACGCAATGGTAGGAGGCATCGCCCATCATGACCACTGATTTAGGAGCTAATTTATTTTTCAATTTGTGATTAACCAAGTTTGAAAATAGGTGTTATTCATATCCCCATGGTAATCCCCGAATTTTGATACTGTTTTGAAAATAGTTGAAGCACCGTCAACTAATCCGTCTCGACTGAACAATCACTAAGCGACATCCTTTGCCAATATTATAAATGTCAGGCTCGCTACTGTTAACGTAGGTTTCGTCCAGAAAATATATATTTCAGTTTTCATTTCGATATTTCCGTATAGCTCTTAAATACCTTACTCGCCATTCAGCTATACTGTGTCTCTTAATCAAAATATGTCTCTTAGATTTATATTTCTTAAAAAAATATTCCATCTTGTGTAAAAGTTGTCTTAAATAGATACAACAGCAGTACACGATACCATCTTCTTTTAAAATGCAAGCAACTTACGAATACTTTCAGGTTTTCTGATGTTTGCAGATTCGAATTACGCTGCGAGCTGCCACTCCTGTAGCCTCTATTACTAATTTATTTAGTCTATAGTTTCCTTATCAACCTTTCGTCTGAGAAAAAACTGTGGACATTGTAAATAACATTTTTTACTTGTTATGTAATTGGCGGACCCATCTTAAGATATTTTATCTCATGTTTGTTTCGAACAAAGTGACACAAACAACTGAATCGTGTAACCGTCACGGCGGTCGACGGCAGACAGAGTCGGCTTAACGTTCATTTACCTCCCCAGTCCTGCCGCTCACATACCTCAGGCGGTGACTAGCACTTCCGCGCACATTATAGTAATATCAATGTTATTTTCTTCCAGGATAACTTTAAAAGAAGTCAAGGCTTTTTTACCAAAAATTAATTGTAAAATATCAACTAGCAAACTGAGAGACATCTTCCAAGAAGTAGACACTGGAAAGAAAGGGGAGATTGGTTTTGATGATTTCTCTATACTGTACCACAAACTTATTTTTGATGAGAATGTGAGTACATATATATTTATGATTTCTTACATTTTATTGAAAATATGCGGCCCTGATGGAACACCGTTTATCTACCACGGCCATACTCTCACCACTAAAATCAGATTTATGGACGTGTTAAGAACTATAAAAGAGCACGCTTTCGTCACTTCCGACTACCCTCTAATCTTGTCGATAGAAGATAACTGCTCGTTGCCCCAACAACGCAGGATGGCGAGCGCTTTCCAAGACGTGTTCGGTGATATGCTCCTAGTTCAGCCTTTTGAAAAGAACGAATCTAGTCTACCATCACCCCATGATCTGCGGAGAAAAATCATACTGAAACATAAGAAACTACCCGAAGGCGAAGAGGAGAACTCATTCTCTGTGCGTCAGGAGGAAGGGAAAGATCTCGATTTGAGGAACTCCATTAAGAACGGCATCCTGCTTCTCGAAGACCCCGTTGACAAGGAGTGGAATCCGCACGCTTTCGTGCTGACAGAGAACAAGTTGTATTACACGGAGAATTACAGTACGCAAGGGGAGACTGATGTCGACAGCGACGGAGAACCAGAGCTGGAAGGGCTGCCTAGTATACCCCAAGACGAGTTGCACTTCGGCGAGTGTTGGTTTCACGGTAAATTAGCGGGGAACAGGCAAGAAGCTGAGGATTTGCTGAGAGCTCATGCTCATCTCGGCGACGGTACGTTTTTGGTGCGTGAGAGTGTGACGTTCGTGGGTGATTACTGTCTGTCGTTCTGGAGACAGGGCAAGGTGAACCACTGCCGCATCAAACTGAAACAGGAACGCGGCGTCACCAAGTACTATCTGATAGACACGGTGTGCTTTGACAGCCTATACAGTTTGATCACACATTACAGACAGCATCCGTTGCGTAGTCAGGTGAGTTGCTAATGTCGTATTACTATCTATATCAATATTATAAATAGCTAAATATTCTAACTTTGTTTTTTTTTTACTCTAACTTTGGGGTAATCTTTGGAAACACTGATCCGATCATGAAAATTCTTTCACCTACATTAATTACAATAAAATCTTTATTAGCGAAAATTTGGTTACATAAGTAAATAAATTGACGTCCTCTTTAATTAATTAAATAGGCTTTAATTGATTAAAGAGAGCGAAGTCGCGGAAAAAATTTCTTACGTATTCTTCCAAAAAGACATTGGAATCGACAGTTAATTCATGTCATCAATTTGAATAAAATAAATCTGTTCAAATTTGTATTTGTAACTGATTTTTGAGATTTTTGCTCATTTTCGATTGAGATTTTTGCTAAGTAGTAGCGAAAATCAAACTCAAAAATCAGTCACTTGTATTATAGTGAACTGGTATTATATTGAATTTTTATTTTACTTGTTGCATATATAGGGAAATAAATATATGATCAAACTGCATCGACTATTATATATCAACCAAAACTATATATCCAAGCGCATTGGACCCACGTGTCCGGTTATGGCCAATTCTCTAAGTATCGTTCTACAATAGTGAAGACCTATACCCCATCAGTGAGAGCGTTAATGAGCTGATGATGATGAGGCACTCGATTGTAGGAGTTCCTGATAACCCTGAAGGAGCCAGTGCCTCAGCCCAACAAGCACGAAGGCAAGGAGTGGTTCCATCCTCAATGCACACGTGCTCAAGCGGAGGAACTCTTGCGCAAGGCTAACACAGATGGGGCTTTCCTAGTGCGCCCCAGTGACAAGGACCACGGCTCATTTGCAATCAGCTTCAGGTACTAAATTTTTTAATTATCAATGTACATTGATTCCTCAGACTGACATGACAAAACTGATGATCACCCATGGCTGACAAAACTATTAAATTAAATCAATTCCCAATATAAATGAGACATTTTCACTTGTATAATATTTGTATGGGTGAGATCCGTCTCTTCAAATCTAGAACGTTGATTAGTTTAGTAGAAATATGTAACAGTATATAACCATCCACGTTAAACGATAAACATGCCGCATGTGATTAAAATATAGCTAATATAATTTTTAAATAGTTTTTGCTATATCAGCGAATGAATAAATTTATTTTTAGTGATTTCTTTGAAGCTTTGCAATAGAAAAGCTAAGGTTATACATACTGTAATCTCTAATGAATTGTGATTTTTAGAATATTAATTTATTTATTCTTTGTTTTATTAAATTGTATTATAATATCTGTGGTAGTATGTTATTTCAAATCATAAATATAAAATAATAATCACAGCGGATTCGTTGGTTCGTTTATAACTCTTGTAACGAATTGTAGAGATGACAACAATTAGTTTTATACAGGGTTATAAAATTGTGTATTAATTTTAGTGTCGTTTGCTCACGCGAGTTTTTGTTTGTGCATTTACTACACGTTACGCGAAATGATAGTCAATAGAAATTGCTTTCAAATGGTTTTTTATAGTATTTGTAAATTCAATATAAATAAATTATTATAAGACTTAACATATCGCCCAGATCCTGAGTAAAGTAGCTAAAGTTTTGTGTTGAGGAAATCGACCAGACCGGGAATCGAACCCAGGTCCTCAGTATTGACGACACGTTGAATTAGGTTGTTTGGTATCGACTTCGACACACATAACTTGTTTTATATCTATACATAGTATGAAACAAAGTCACTTCCCGCTGTGTGTGTTGAGATTTTTGATACTACACAACGGATTTTGATGCCGTCTTCATCAATATATAGAGTCATTCAAGAAGACTATTTGTATGGATAATACAGGACGACGCGGGCGAAGTCGCTAGCGGAAAGCTAGTTTGTTTGTATATGAAAACAAAAGCACAGCGAAAGTGTCATTTTGCAAGGCTAATCTTTGTAACAATGTTATCTTTGTCATTTTATTTTTACGAACTCTTTGCGAAATGTAACCCTTGCCGATTTTCAGTATACTTTGAGAAAGAAACACCCGTTGCTGAGTTTTTTGCCGGTTCTTCTCGATAAAAGGTGTCCCGCCGGAAAATTTAGGAATGCTTGAAATAATTGTAACTCGAAATGATTTCTCCTTCCCCTGTCCAAATTTCATTCTTCATCATTAGCCTGTACATCCAGCATAGGGTATAGACGACCAACAAAGAAAGAAATGCAGTAAGAAAATACAATCACACACCATACGTCCACCAATACTGTTTTTGGGTCTAAACAACCGGACTGATTTTAAAAACGCTTTCATTTACGGGAAGCTACATAGTACGCGGGTGATAGTGGTTATAATTTATGCATGCGAAGTCGCAGAAAAACAGCTACGTTATATATTCATCATCATAATCATCATCAGCCCTTTTACGTCCCCACTGCAGGGGCTCAGGCCTTCTTTATGGATGGTTAAGGAGGATCGGCCATGACCCTCCACGCTGGCCCAGTGGGAATTGGAGTGTATTAACGACTGCAAATGCAGCCGGGACCAACAGCTAAACGTGCCTTCCGAAGCACGGAGTAGCTGGAGATAATATTTTTTTGGTCACCCATCCCGTGACCGACCCTTGCGAAAGATGCTTAACGACAACGATCGCGGGCCGCGGAGCTTATCCACTACGCCACCGAGCTGCATTACGTATATATTATTACATATATATTACAAATATATTATTTGCCACATATTATTCCCTGTGTAACTTCTTTATGTAAATTAAATAGTAAAATTAACGCTTGATTTGCTATACCTGACGCTCATGCGAATGAATTTGAGAATAGACCCTTGTCTTTGAATTAAAACCATACATTCAATATTGTATTGCTAACTTCATAACCGAAACACAATTTTGTTTTTGCTATTCCACCATTCCTTTATTACTGCGAAAGTGTGACCATTAGTTTTGTATAATATAATATTACTTTTACCTTAAATGTAAAATTTCCAAAGTTAATTAATTCAACATAAATTCTGTACAAAACCAAATAAACAATCGTCGATAAGTTCACTAATTCTCAAATAACTAGATTAAAAAACTATACAGTTTTGCATTACCTCAATGCGATTAATTTCCATATTTACGAGTCAAACTTTAATAAGCTTTGATTTCAATGCATTATTTTTAAACTAGCTTCACAATTATCTCGAGTTTTGACAGCTGCTACAACATCAAAACATTATTTTCAAATTACGAATCTCTCTCGCCTTCAGATCTTTTCATCTGATGAAAATATGCTAGGATATGATTCTATTTTAAACAAAAAAAATATTTAAATTTACTAATGTGCGCAGACGCGATCTTTAAAAAAATTATTGGAAAGTGGACATTATACTTTACCAAAATACTTACATATATGATATAGAAGTCCACATAATGTATTTAATTTTAATACTGAAGAAATATACCTAGTAAACACTGTATTCACTACGTTTCTTCGGTTTCTATTTTAATGAAAATAAAAAAATAATAATTGCAATATTTTTTCACTACGTTTCTTCGGTTTCTATTTAAATGAAAATAAAAAAATAATAATTGCAATATTTTTTCACTACGTTTCTTCGGTTTCTATTTTAGTGAAAATAAAAAAAAAAATTGCAATATTTTTCTCAAATAATTACAGCGCTTTGGGTCTTTATAACAATAGATACATCCAGAAACAACGGATTAAAGTTTATTTGTCTGATGACAGACACTGCGAATATTGCTTAATATACTCAATTGTTTTCCGAATACACCATGCACGAGGTACTATTTAGGTCTTTGTGTATATTTTATATGCTTTAGCGAAAAGTAGCTAATGCCAAACGATGTACTTAGAGTAATAAAGCATTTATAATCTTACTCTATCTACAACATTTATGTTAAACCTAAACTTACGATATTTTTTAAATATTAAACTAAACCTATGATAGTTTCTGGCGATATTTATATCTTGGACTACGTTATTGGCTGCCAAGATGAGCCAAACAAAGCACAAGAAAAGTTTCTTAAGCACTTCGTTGTTTTTTGAACCCTCATATTTTAGTTTAGATTATGCCATTTAAAATCGGAAATGTAATAATAATGGGCTTATTGGTGTACCAGAATCTGATGGCAAAAAAAATTTCATATGGCAATATAAATTGTCTATTGTTGACAATTGTCAAAGTCAAGTAATTGTAAATATTTGTGAAAATATTAATTTACGAGTATATTGTAAAAATGCCTAATAAGCTATTGATATCTTAAGCGAGAAATATTGTTTCTAATGTTTATAGCAAAATTTGTGAAAAGAAGCTGAAGATCGACGAATTTTTATTTTATTTTAAAGTGTGTATCTGAATTGACCGGTAATAAACTTATGGACCGTTTTAAAAATTGGAAGCTCCATCATACGCGAATAAAAAGAGTTATGATTTCAAGTCGCGGGAAAACGCAACAGCTTTAGTTAGTTGAACTAAAGTTTCAATTGAATAGTTCTTATACTTTAGCTTTTATAGATATCTACAAAACCTCGATGTCGTCACTGGCTCATTCACTCACTCATTCGTTTGCTTTTACTAGAATTGTCATTGTACATATAAAGACAAGTAATGAACATTACAGTTGTAACTTCATACATATGTGACGGTAGCAAAACACAGCCACATATTTTGGTTAATATGTAGACTTTGTAAAGCAGAGCTTTGTAGAGTCAGAAGCTATACATAAGATCTTAATACTTCTTGACTGTACGAGCCCCAACGTGTCGCCTTGGCAACATTTTACATAAAAATGTTTTTGTGAGAATACTCAATGTTGCCGTTAAGTGTAGCTCGGTTCATTTAGCCCTTTAACCGTCGGTATAATTTTAAAGTGCATTTTGATCCAAAACGAACCTTATCTTTCAGAACGGAGAAGGAAATAAAGCACTGTCGCATTAAACAAGAGGGCAGGCTTTATGCGATAGGCACGGTGAAGTTCGAGAGTTTGGTAGAGTTGGTGGCCTATTATGAGAAACATCCACTTTACAAGAAAGTTAAACTCTGGTATCCCATCAGCGAGGATGTTGTGAGAAGAATCATTTCGGTGAGTGACAAACAAGTCATATTCTTTTGTTTAATAGTATGGGGTCAGCTCGGCCTTTTTTCGTCACTGATTTAGCTCCTAGCTTAGGGTGGTGAGAAACCAGATACTCAAAAAATGTTTATCCCACCAAAAACATCTTGTAAAAACAGCCAAGTCTCGATGGAGCTGCTTTTTTCTCTAAAAAAAGCATTGAAATCTCTAAGCTAAGTCAGGGCAAATTTGACGGTCTTTACTGCGATTTCTTTAGATTTAATTTGACTGGCCGTCTAACATTATTTATGCACACTTACTTATTGACACATCCAAGTCAACAGCCAAGTCACATTAAAATCTAACTATATCGCAAGATTAACAAATATTATTTACCTTGTTTCATAGAATTGATTTATTTCTATGGATAGATCGTGTTTTGGAAGGCACGTTGTAACGTTTGTTTCGATTGCATTTGCACTTAGATAACATTCACTAGTCTTGAGATGGCTCTCTACCGTGGGTTCTGGTACATTCTTCAAATATGATTCCATCGAAAGGGTAGACAGGTGCTTTGGCAGTGAGATATTAATATGACCGTATATATAGTAAACTAGCTGAGCCAGTATTTTTTTCAAATTCTCTTATATACAAACCTTGTCTTGACAATAATATAAAGAATAGATAGAAAAAAAATCATCAGATTTTGTGCAGTTGTTCAGAAGTCATGCGCGTACATAAAATTTCGACTATTCATTTTTATATAAATATATTGACTGTGCCTCATTCACATGGAAAAATATCTAGTATATGCTTACTGTCTGGTGAGGCTTGTACTTTGGACGACTGAATTTAAACTCAGTATGCAGATTTAAACGTAATATCTTCGAAATGAATTAAAATAATATTAAGTAACGTGTTTGCTAGGCGGGGACTTGAATCGTACCGTATCATATATCAGACCCCTCTCGTGGCCGACGACGTAAACCGTAGAATGAAAGATTGTAATGTCGTCACACACCGACTGTCGTAACACGGTCCAATTAAGATGCCAAAGCCGAGCTGACACTTCATTAGCTTTGTCCTTATTACAAGAATGCAGTATTTTATTCATCATTTGCTCTAAATTCATTTGAAGAATTTTGCAAAACGTTAGATATGGATGCGTACCGCAAAATAAATAATTACTCTAATTTTCTAGGAACCAGACGATAACTCAGTATATGGTACTCCGGGTTATATGGATCCCACGTCGTTTACATCAAAGGTGAGTTTGTAAGACATGACAGCCCCATTTTTAGAAATAGTTTATTACTTATTACTATTTATAATACATAGATGTGTGGAGGTGTCGCTACACCAAACT